ACGACCGCTCCGAGGAAGGTCATCTGTGGTCTTTGTAGCATTGTATCGATGCAGGAGACGGTAAATTGTGGTTATGTTAACGTTGAAATGACGGGCAACATCTTGGACAGACTCTCCAGCTTCCAAACGTCCGATAGCGTGGTTTCTCTGAATTTGAGTTAGGCGTGGCATTGTTGACCAAGGAGTGGTAGGTCCAAGAATCGGCCACAGTTTTATACCCACTACAGTTCGTGACAGTTCGTTCATTTTCGATTTCACGTGAAATGGGTGCATGAATACCCACATATTCATTGAAATGGTGCGTTTTGACGATTCTTTTTTTATGTTGCGTTTTTACTCGGGGCTTCCAAAATGCAACCAAAAATATTGATAACACCATCAGGCTTTACTACATGCTAAAACCAGTATCAATTTATGGTTCCTTGTTTGTTACCTATTTGCTTAAAACCACTTGCGTTTCTTTTGCGTGTGAGTATATATGAACCTGTAAGAACAACAAAAGTAATAAGATAACAAAGGTGGAAAGTTAACAAGGGAAGCCAACAGGTGATTGGCGCTGATTATGGAGTAAGTATATTTTCCTAAACATAGTGTTCCTCATAATAAAGAAGTTGACATCCCTTCCTTGTGTGTCACTTCTAAATGCCTTTCAAAGACTTGAACATCGAAAAGCTTTGAATGATGATCCGAGTTGTTGTTGTTGTTGTTGTTGTTGTTGTTGTTGTTGTTGTAACCTATATGAAAAATGTTAACATTATATTCAATATTGAGAAGTTCCAAATTTGAATGTTCAAGGTCAGGCGTGCTCTAGTTAACATTGTAAAAATAAATTATTTGTATACAATGAGTTGATAATGCATAGGAATGATGCGATCTTTGTTCATGAACATAATTATACTTATAAAACCTTTCCAAAAGTACATTTCTAAACGGAAACATTTGAGTGAGCAGTATAAATGTATGTGTGTTTTTGTTTCTTTTCCTGTCAGAGATTGCAAATAACTGTGCATTTAGGAACCAGGCTGGTGGTCATCGTTGTTGTGAATGAAATACTGAAACTAGAAATGCTTGACCGTCGATGTACGATGACACACAATCAGCCGATGATGTCGATTAGTGAGGTCATCGCAAGTATTGAGTGCATTCGGGATTAATGCACTTTTATAGCGACGGGCATGTAGACAGGGAAAAACATCAAACACTTCAACATCAAACTTTAACTTTATATTGTGGGAAGGCATTGCCTGCAATGGAGCTTTCGTCTTATCACGAATGCTCCAACATCAATGCACGGGGCACAATGTATACTCGATATTTACAATCTACCGAATAAATACTAGAATCGTTATTCACAGCCTCGGTGTTTATTTTTTAAAACGTAATAAAGTTTTTATTTTGCTCACATGAACTGACGCCATGTATTCGCTTTCTCAATAAAATAATTTTCCCACAGTGTGTGTGAGAGTGTGTGTGTATGTGTCTGTGTCTGTGTGAGTGTGTATGAGAGAATGTCTGTGTGTCTTTCTGTGTGTGTATTTGTGTGAGTGAGTGTGTGTGTGTGTGTCTGTGTGTGCGTGTGTGCGTGCGTGCGTGCGTGCGTGTGTGTGTGTGTGTGTGTGTGTGTGTGTGTGTGTGTGTGTGTGAGTGAATGGCTACATGTTCTAATGTCGGTTATATAGAGTTAGCCTACTTCGATCCAATGGTTTACCATACAAATCCCACTCAGACACCGAACACACAGAAAAAGGTAAATCAGTAAACATCACTTGGTATGGCGCGGCCAGAAGATCGGACCCACGACCTTCCGCTCTCCTGGCAGGCGTTCTATCGACTTGACCATGGAGGCGGTCTTGCGATGCATTGTAACACGTCATGACCAGTGACAATAGACACTGACAGAATCAATTCTGGAAACTCGATTGAGTGAGTGAGTCAATATTAAGCGTCACATCGGCAATATTACAGCCATACCGTGACGAGAAGTTATACATTAAATATACATATATTTATACTTTTTAAAAAACCTGTCATCGAAGGACAGTATGATAACTAGAATATCACAGAAAAGGTTTAAAACTAGTTTAGGAATATCTAAAAGCAACAAACATAAGTTAACAACACAATATACAAATTGGCTAGAGATCGTCAGTAACTAAAGGGAGATCACCATACCAGGGACCATGGGGACTTACAGTGCCTTTGCTTCCTGCATGGACCCTGGCAGGATTTATATCAACCCTTCAGTCACTGACGATAGTTTACCAGTTAAGCCTTATGTTAAAAATGACAAAAATACTACGTTTTAAATTTCTGGCATGCATAACAATACATTGAATGATGTGGGACTTACATACCCTCTTAGGGGGACAATAATTTTACACTACTTCTGAAAAATCGAAGTATAAATGTATGAACAGTGAAAAATACTGGTATGGACTGATGATATCCGTGAGGTGTGTTTGAATCTGAACCAGATAATCCAGTTATTGATGTGTGACCAACGACCTATGTCACGGAATCAACCAAGTCACTGAGCGTGACCACCCGACCCATCACGTCGCAGGTAGGTTGCTGGGGACGAATTGTGTGCCGGAATGCACTCGGGGCTGTCCATGAAGTAATCAGGAGACTCTATTGATGGTAATCGCGTGAGCATGTAATCATCTTTAATGTCGCAGCTTACATACAGTCCAACCCCACCCTAATACATACAATCAAACCAACTCAAGAGAAATATATACATTGTGATCTTGACATGGACAGGGGGCACGGGTGGCCCTGTCGTCTAAGGCGCCGCGATTCGCTGTGGAGAACTGCGTCCCTTGGGCACGCCAGAAACCTATGATTGTGGGTTCGAATCCCGGTTCGCCCCGATTATGTTTCTAGGTTTGTCAGCACCATACCCGTGCTCGTGGCTTTCACCGAAGTGGAACACGTCTGAGACCTGCATCACTTCGGGCTTTCCTCCCTAATTAAGCTGACACGCCGTGATATGACTCGAATACTGTTAAAAGCGGCGTTAAACACAACTCACTCACTAACTAAAAACTGTTGTCTCAGATCATCGTAGCGGGGTCAAAATAAAAGAACACGGGCTTCATTAACTATTTTGCATGGACAGTTAAAACATACTTTATTTTCTTCTGAAATATTTATCAAGTTTGTAACTGCGACTGATGCGTCGTTATGGCGGTCGTTACTGTATTCCGCGACTTCACGCACGATAGCGATATTAGTCACTTGTGTATTCTGTTCAAACATAGTTACCACAAGAACCATTTCAGACTGAATGAGATGAACTACGAAAAGAATTTTGTTGGTCACTGTAGATAGTCATTAAAGGATATTTACATTGACGTCAATCCCAACGTTGCACTTCTCTGACCTCTGTGAGGTCAACAAGGTGTTTACGTGTTGTCTGATCAGATTATATTTGAAATGTCTCTGATTGGTATTATTTGCATTTAATTAAATAAGGATTATAACACAAGTAGAAACTATATTAAGAAATCAGTTTTATCAATCTTGGAGAAGTTTAGTATTAGCATAATCTAAAGGAAATAAGTATCAGTTATTTCAGGACTATTCATCCTTTGAAGGATATTTGCCGCTTCCAAAAATAGTGGTCTTGTCCAATTATAAAATTCCGAACATCTAACCACAATCTGTCAACAGAAGCTGGAAGATGATTTAGTCTACCCCGAGAGGATAGAGTCATCTTTGTGACTCGCCTGCACTAGTAGATGAATTACATTACATTTTAAAAATGTACTGCCTCTGAAAAGGGTAGAAAACAGTAAGTTAGTGAACTGTGTTATATATGACTAAATTTATACAGATTCAAACGCATTTTATGCTGTTAAAAGAGAAGTGACCTTTTATCACAGTATATCCATATTGTTAATGTGCGTTTTAAGCACATTTGAGTGAGTAGGTTTGGTTTAACGCCGCTTTTTATAGTATTACAGTTATATCGCGGCGTGTCAGCTTAATGTGGGAGGTAAGCCCGAGGTGATGCAGGTATCAGACGTTTACCTCCTCGGTGAAACCCACGGGCACGGGTATAGTGCTGAGAAACTTAAACACATAATCGGGGCTTCGAACCCACAATCATAGGTTTCTGGCGTGCCCAACGGACGCAACTCTGCAGAGCGAACCGCGGCCCCTAAGACGACGGGGCCACCCGTGCCCCCTTAAGCACATTTGAGAATTCTGCATTTTTGTCGTAAATCGTAAGTCATATCCTCTAAATTATGTGAGTGATCGAGTGAGTGACATTATACAGTTCATCCTGTACTCATCCATCCAATAGAAACTTCAGCACATTGTGTGTAACACTGCTACTGAATGTGTTAAAAGGATTGACTGTTACAGTATGTGGTTCATCAAGTTACGAATACAAATCAACGTCCCAGATTCTTACAAATTTTTCACTCTGTTTGGTTTTTCAAAACCGGACTTTTGATATTCTCTGCCAAAGGGATTGTTTGCTGATGATGCGGGATTTCCTGAAAAAGACTGGGTTTTATATATAAGCAAATCTCCATTTACTGAATAAAAGCAGAGCAGTTATCGAAAGGATATTCACGTAACGACAGTCGACCATCTGTCCATTTTCATTTCCATATGCCAGACGCACAAGACTTGTGACCAATACTCAAGTCAACATCCTGGTTTACTGGTACTCGCTATAACACTAAAGACACATTCAGAATCATTTTCCCAAATTTAATTATATTTTTCTTTTATGAAGGAGTGATGAAGATCCGTGTATGTATTATATACTTATTTGCGACATCGCGCCTCTCAAAGGCTTTAGAAGGGGTACTTGGTAAACATTTGACGACCTCGATGATATCAGACAACTCGAGCCCACCAGACGTGTTCAGAAAGAGTACCTGGTCAAATATATCCAGCTTTTGTTGGAAATTCTTTTCATAAATTACCTCATCTGTGCATACATGTTCACAAAATGGGCTATGTATATAAGAGCGTTCTGGCGGGGCTGTTCAGCTGCGTCCTTGCCGTTGTCGGAGATACACTTGTCCTTAACAGTAAAAGATAAGGATAGAGTATGTCTCCTTGCAGGTTAGTGGAAATGTTGCTTTTTCGTGTTGGTCCAACACATTTTGATATTTTTTAAAATTTCATACCACAAATATGTATTTATCAATTGAATTCTTACACTTTGGATGACTTTAATCTTTTCTCTAGTCATCGCTGATATTATAACTTGTGTTATGACGATAAATAGTTGCGAGTGGCACGTTCTCAGTGTCACTTAGTTAACATCACTAAACATTCACCAATTTGTCAACAAATTATATATTTCCAAATATTTGGGGAAATGGTGTGTTATGTTGCTTTTTAGCCAAAGGGTATTTAGTTCGCACGATTTCCCATGGGAATTGCAACGATGTAGTGGGTACTAGGATCCAAGATATTTCAGGATTGATTGATATTAAACTTCGTCGTATAAAATTAAGGCACTGAACACATATATTCTAGGGAGGCTGGCGGGGAGCTGGAAGTGTTTAACAGAAACAGCATACTTACACGGCCACTGCTTCAATTCTTTTCTCTGAGAAATATGGCCAATTTTATTATCCGTATTTTCAGGAACAAATTGTACATTTCCCAATATTTGAAAATAGAGGGAATTGTGTTGCTTTTCAACCAAAGAATAATTATTATGACAGTAATTTCACAGGTTCGAATTCGCACGATTTCCCGGAGGAGTTTCAACGATTAATAATAATAATAATAATAATAATAGTTTATGCATTTGTATAGCGCAGCATTCACTGTGCATAAGTGCTCTGTGCGATTCTGTAGGTTTACAATGTCCAAGATGTTTCAGGATTGCTTGATATCAAGAATTATTCAGTAAGTCCAGGCAAGCAATTATTTTATTATATCTTCTGTTTTTGGCGTGAAGGGGTGGTTTTGGGTGGGGGTTGGGGTTTGGGTGGTGGTGTCGGTGGTGGTTAAGCCGTGAGGCAAGTTGTTTCCAGTATTTTCTGGAACAAGTTATTCCGACCTTTCCAAGTAGCACGCCAGTACTCAAAGAAGAGACTTCAATACGTATTTTTACATCTGACGAACATCAACATGTTAATAATTGTTACTCTTCTTCTTTCGGAGCGGTCGGGTAGCCTAGTGGTGAAAGCTTTCGCTCGTCACGCCGAAGACCCGGGTTCAATTGCCGACATGGGTACAATGTGTGAAGCCCATTTCTGGTGTCCCCCGTCGAGATATTGCTGGACTGTTGCTAAAAGCGGCGTCACACCATACTCACTCTCTCACTACTATTCTTCTTGCAGATTGAAGCGGTCTGCAATGCGTTCCGTTGTTGTGTGCACGTGGCTCCTGCTGGCGTGGACCGTGGTTACTGAGGTGGACGGCCATGGCTACATGCTGGTTCCCCCTGGTCGGTCTTCAGCCTGGAGAGTCAGCTTGGACTACTTCCACGTCAACTACAACGACAACGCTAACTACTGCGGTGGCCGTTCTGTAAGTACTACCTTGATACTGATACCTATTGTTAAATTCATACAAAATGGCGGACCTGAGTGGCGGCTACCGTCTCGGTAGTTTCTATGCTGTGTTTGCTTTTATGTGAGGTGAATTTGGAGACCGGTGTAGTGGATAGAACGTCTGCCGAGCTAGCAGAAAGTCGGTGGTTCGATCCCCGGTCGCGTCATACGTAAAGACGTTAAAAGATGGTTCTTGTTGTTACCTCGCCTGGCGCTCGACATTAAGGGAATAAAACAAGGACTGGTCGGCTCAGAGTCAGTATACTGTGTCCGAGTAGGGTATCCTTGTTAAACTGGGATAGGGTATCTCAGTGAGCTAGCACTATAAAACCGGCGTTAGTCGTACTGGTACAATTAGCCACACACACACACACACACACACACACACACACACGTGCATGCACGTCCCTATATAAGTATTATAATCTCGAACGCGTAAAAACTCATTTCACCTCACCTAACACCACCTGAATTTGTAAACACTGAAGATGTTGCGAAGTTAAGACATAATGACAAGAAATCGACTGACGTTGACCCCAATCACCGACCAGGCATGAATCATCTGATCACAACCAAAACATTATATCATGTCCTGATGCGTTGTTTAGGCAATCAAAATGCAATCTCGACCATCTTAACAAGACCTTCTAGGCGAGTAGTGGGTGTTTGCGGTCTTGAGATCTTGTGGGAGCTCGGCGCCAAAAGTTCTGTAACAAGTCAGTCCAGTTAGTTGTGTATTTAAGGATGGATGAGTTGAGGTGAAATGGAGTTTAACGTCGCGTCCAAGATTATTGCACTTATATAGCGACGTGCATGCACGTGTGTGTGTGGCTGCTTGTACTAGATCGGACTGATGCCGATTTATAGTGCTAGCACACTGAGATTCCATGCCGCAGTTTAACATGAATACCCCACTCAGACACGGTATACTGACTCCGAGCCGACCAGTCCTTGTTTTAGCCCCTTAATGCCGAGCGCCAGACAGGGTAACAACAAGTACCATCTTTTAACGTCTTTTGGTATGACGCGGCCGTGGATCGAACTCCGGACCTTCCGCTCTCCGGGCGGAAGCTCTACCACTAGACCACGGAGGCGGTCTATTTGAGGATGGACTGAAGTGCAGTAAGGTTTCTAGAAGTGAGCATCAAACCATGTGTTGTAGTAATTCCTGTGTGGGTGTGCGACAGAACACGAGTGTATATGTAGGAATGAGGTATGGTCTCAGTGTGCTAGCGCTATAAATCGGCATCAGTCCGGACTAGTACAAGCAGCCACACACACACACACACACACACACGCACGTGCATGCACGTCACTATATAAGTGCAATAATCTTGGACGCGACGTTAAATCCAATTTCACCTTACCTCACTCTTTTTTCACATTTTCACCGACTTCATCTTCAGACACAGCACGACATCAACAACGGCAGTTGCGGACTCTGCGGAGACGACTTCAGGACTTCCCGCCCACGTGACAACGAAAGGGGCGGGTTCTATTCTACCGGCAACATCGTCGCGCAATACGCCAGCGGCGGCGTGCTGGACGTGGCGGTCGTCATAACTGCCAACCACATGGGAAAGTTCTACTTCGCCATCTTCCCTTCCAATGACCCAAGCGAGTGGGAAGAGGAGTCCTTGTTTCAGCCGCTGTACAATGCGGACACCGGGACGACGTACTATGACGTTCCTGACAACACAGCGCGGACCTTCAGCGTTAAGTTGAAGATACCAGACGACATGGTGTGCAGTCACTGCGTGCTTCGCTGGAAATACGTGGCAGGTCAGTAAGACCGAGTCACTCTAAAAAGGGTGTGCGTCGGAGGATTTGTCTGGTTCAATGATTGTTTGCAGTTTTAAGTTTTGTGATTTTGGTGCTTGTTCGGCTCTGTGATTGGCTGCAGTTTTCGCTTCAATATTTGGTTGCATGTTAAGAATTTGTAGTTTGTTGCAGCGTACGCTTCTGGAATTTGTTGCAGTTTTAGGTTCGGTGACTTGGTGCAGTATTTGCTTCTACAATAAGTGCAGTTTAAAGGGCACGTTAAGTCAAAAGGCGACTTTGCGGATTTTAATACATGTACTTAATCACAAATGTCTGAACAAAATTAAATTTAAACAGACGATAAAAATGACAGGCGCCATCGCCCCGAAACGAAAGATTCCGCCATTGAGGGGATTCCCCAAACTAGTGTTTAAACGGGTTCTCGATGTTGGACGCGCTGCGCAATTTAAACGATCAGGGAGGCACCCAGTCTGCCTGCTTCCGCCTCTGATTTTGTTATCGCTTTACGTTTTTTTCTGCCTGTTCATTACTGTGTCCACTACTTACTGTATCATGTCAAGTTATGGCTTATTAGTAAGAACATTGACAATAGCTTCACTTGTCTACTCAGGGGATTAATCCAGTGAACGATTATCACAATATTGTTTCACTTCCAGTTGGTCTGTGAATTATGTAAGTGGAAATGTTAGATGTGAAATTGGACAAATAAGACATGTATATTTATATTTTATAGAAAACGAATGCGGGATGCACGTATGTACGGATGTATGTTGCTTAAAGAAAGATAATAGGGATTATCCCTTGGCCTGCTGCAGGAAGTCAGCGTCTGTGGTACCCAAACAGGATGTTAGTTATAAAAAGGCTCGTTACAGACATTAATTATTTTAATTATTCACAATGCCAAGGTCAAAGGTCGTTCCACTTACTCAACGATCTGTGCAATGTTTTGTTTGTAGGATTAACAGAAAGAGCAACACTTTTAGATTTACTGCTTCCTGACGTATCCGTATAGCTGCTAAGCATCCCAACTCTACATATCAACCAATGAAAACATTTGTCACGCACCGCTGTACGGTTGCGCCGGTAGATTTAGGCCACGCCCCTATCCGATTACGGAGCGTGTGATTTCAGCCGTTTCACTAGGACGTTTAAATACTTTCTACGAATTCAATGGGCGGCTCTGTGACTGGTTGCTGTGTTCGCTTCTGTGATTGGTTGCAATTTTGGTTTCCTGATTATTTGAAGTTTTCGGTTATGTGATAGGTCCCGAGCAACCTATGCCGGTCTGTGGTTGGTTGCAGTGATGGATTCTGTGAATGGTTCTGTTTGGCTCTATGAGTTGTTTGGTTTTGTGATTGGTTGCAGTGTTGGATTCTGTGAATGGTTCTGTTTGGCTCTATGAGTTGTTTGGTTTTGTGATTGGTTGCTGTGTTTGGTTCTATGATAGCTTTTTGCGTCACATTCGCTATTGTTTACTTTGTTCGGTTCTGTGATCGTTTCACACATTCGGTTCTGTGATCGTTTCACACATTCGGTTCTGTGATCGTTTCACACATTCGGTTCTGTGATCGTTTCACGCATTCGGTTCTGTGATCGTTTCACGCATTCGGTTCTGTGATCGTTTCACACATTCGGTTCTGTGATCGTTTCACGCATTCGGTTCTGTGATCGTTTCACGCATTCGGTTCTGTGATCGTTTCACACATTCGGTTCTGTGATCGTTTCACGCATTCGGTTCTGTGAGTGGTCGCGGTTTTATGTTCTAGGATCGGTTCCTATGTCCAGCTCTGTGCTCGGATCTGTGATCGGCTGCAGTGTCAGGATCTGTGATCGGCTGCAGTGTTAGGTTCTGTGATCGGCTGCAGTGTCAGGATCTGTGATCGGCTGCAGTGTTAGGTTCTGTGATCGGCTGCAGTGTTAGGATCTGTGATCGGCTGCAGTGTTAGGTTCTGTGATCGGCTGAAGTGTTAGGATCTGTGATCGGCTGCAGTGTTAGGTTCTGTGATCGGCTGCAGTGTTAGGTTCTGTGATCGGCTGCAGTGTTAGGTTCTGTGATCGGCTGCAGTGTTAGGATCTGTGATCGGCTGCAGTGTTAGGATCTGTGATCGGCTGCAGTGTCAGGATCTGTGATCGGCTGCAGTGTTAGGTTCTGTGATCGGCTGCAGTGTTAGGTTCTGTGATCGGCTGCAGTGTTAGGATCTGTGATCGGCTGCAGTGTTAGGTTCTGTGATCGGCTGCAGTGTCAGGATCTGTGATTGGTTGCAGTGTTGGATTCTGTGAATGGTTCTGTTTGGCTCTATGAGTTGTTTGGTTTTGTGATTGGTTGCTGTGTTTGGTTCTATGATAGCTTTTTGCGTCACATTCGCTATTGTTTACTTTGTTCGGTTCTGTGATCGTTTCACACATTCGGTTCTGTGATCGTTTCACGCATTCGGTTCTGTGAGTGGTCGCGGTTTTATGTTCTAGGATCGGTTCCTATGTCCAGCTCTGTGCTCGGATCTGTGATCGGCTGCAGTGTCAGGATCTGTGATCGGCTGCAGTGTTAGGTTCTGTGATCGGCTGCAGTGTCAGGATCTGTGATCGGCTGCAGTGTTAGGTTCTGTGATCGGCTGCAGTGTTAGGATCTGTGATCGGCTGCAGTGTTAGGTTCTGTGATCGGCTGAAGTGTTAGGATCTGTGATCGGCTGCAGTGTTAGGTTCTGTGATCGGCTGCAGTGTTAGGTTCTGTGATCGGCTGCAGTGTTAGGTTCTGTGATCGGCTGCAGTGTTAGGATCTGTGATCGGCTGCAGTGTTAGGATCTGTGATCGGCTGCAGTGTCAGGATCTGTGATCGGCTGCAGTGTTAGGTTCTGTGATCGGCTGCAGTGTTAGGTTCTGTGATCGGCTGCAGTGTTAGGATCTGTGATCGGCTGCAGTGTTAGGTTCTGTGATCGGCTGCAGTGTTAGGTTCTGTGATCGGCTGCAGTGTTAGGATATGTGATCGGCTGCAGTGTTAGGTTCTGTGATCGGCTGCAGTTTTAGGTTCTGTGATCGGCTGCAGTGTTAGGATCTGTGATCGGCTGCAGTGTTAGGTTCTGTGATCGGCTGCAGTGTTAGGTTCTGTGGTCGGCTGCAGTGTTAGGTTCTTTGATGGGCTGCAGTGTTAGGTTCTGTGATGGGATGCAGTGTTAGGATCTGTGATCGGCTGCAGTGTTAGGATCTGTGATCGGCTGCAGTGTTAGGTTCTGTGATCGGCTGCAGTGTTAGGTTCTGTGATCGGCTGCAGTGTTAGGATCTGTGATCGGCTGCAGTGTTAGGTTCTGTGATGGGCTGCAGTGTTAGGTTCTGTGATGGGCTTCAGTGTTAGGATCTGTGATGGGATGCAGTGTTAGGATCTGTGATCGGCTGCAGCGTTAGTTTCTGTGATTGGTCCCATATTTTTCGTCTGTGGTTGGTTGTTGTGTACGATTCTGTGGTTGATTGTTGTGTACGATTCTGTTATTGATTGTTGTGTACGATTCTGTGGTTGGTTGCTGTGTACGATTCTGTGATTGATTGTTGTGTACGATTCTGTGGTTGATTGTTGTGTACGATTCTGTGGTTGATTGTTGTGTACGATTCTGTGATTGATTTTTGTGTACGATTCTGTTATTGATTGTTGTGTACGATTCTGTGGTTGGTTGCTGTGTACGAATCTGTGATTGATTGTTGTGTACGATTCCGTGGTTGATTGTTGTGTACGATTCTGTGGTTGATTGTTGTGTACGATTCTGTGATTGATTTTTGTGTACGATTCTGTTATTGATTGTTGTGTACGATTCTGTGGTTGGTTGCTGTGTACGATTCTGTGATTGATTGTTGTGTACGATTATGTGGTTGATTGTTGTGTACGATTCTGTGGTTGGTTGCTGTGTACGATTCTGTGATTGATTGTTGTGTACGATTCTGTGGTTGATTGTTGTGTACGATTCTGTGATTGATTTTTGTGTACGATTCTAATATTGATTGTTGTGTACGATTCTGTGGTTGGTTGCTGTGTACGATTCTGTGATTGATTGTTGTGTACGATTATGTGGTTGATTGTTGTGTACGATTCTGTGATTGGTTGCAGTTTACGATCCTGTGATTGATTGTTGTGTACGATTTTGTGGTTGATTGTTGTGAACGATTCTGTGATTGGTTGTTGTGTACGATTCTGTGGTTGATTGTTGTGTACGATTCTGTGGTTGATTGTTGTGTACGATTCTATGGTTGATTGTTGTGTACGATTCTGTGATTGATTGTTGTGTACGATTCTGTGGTTGATTGTTGTGTACGATTCTATGGTTCATTGTTGTGTACGATTCTGTGGTTGATTGTTGTGTACGATTCTGTAGTTGGTTGCTGTGTACGATTCTGTGGTTGATTGTTGTGTACGATTCTGTAGTTGGTTGCTGTGTACGATTCTGTGGTTGGTTGTTGTGTACGATTCTGTGGTTGGTTGATGTGTACGATTCTGTGGTTGGTTGCTGTGTACGATTCTGTGGTTGGTTGCTGTGTACGATTCTGTGGTTGGTTGCTGTGTACGATTCTGTGGTTGGTTGCTGTGTACGATTCTGTTGGTTGCTGTGTTAGGATTTAAATGGTTGCTGTATTTGCATCTGTGAATGGTTGCAGTGGTTATGGTATATGTAAGCGAAACGGATTGTCAAACTTCAAACAAAAATATGGACAGGCACATGCTGAACGAATGTGATTGTTTGGCAGTTTGATATTCTCTAATGTTTCAAACCCACGAAACCAAAAATTTACAGCATTTAATTAAATCTTTGTACCTGTACAAAACGGACGTAATTCAACATTATCATGTCGTTTTCAGTTGACCAAAATCAGTCAATGCGCTATTGCGTCACTGGATTGTCTGGCCCATCACTTGATTGCCTGGCTTGTTTACGGACCGCCGTTGCATGGCGGGAGTACTATTGTGTGGCCCCAGGCAACGAACAAATACTTACTTGTCCATGCAAATTGTGGCGGGTGTTACCGATAAAGCAGCGCATACTTACGCTTTCGCGAACAGCTGATGACATCACTGATTTTCAATGATCCATTCATATTATTTTCACAGTTTGTTTGCCTTTTACGACCAATGAAATGCTTGGTAGATAACTCAAGACTGACTTTTATATCATAACATCTCTGTCCTTGCCCTGTCCATTCCATAGTTTACGTGTACCAATGACGTCATCGTTTGTGTGTTGCAGCCAACAGCTGGGGCTGCAACTCCCCCGACGACTGTTGTCTGGGATGCGGCAATCAACAGGAACAGTTTTACTCCTGCGCTGACGTCATCATAACAAGGTCGGGAACAGATGCTATTCCACAATGGATTGCACCGAATAAAGACTCTACCGGCACACCCAGAACTGCGGCAACTACAACACCTTCCCCAACCGTTCCTATCGCACCTGAACCTACAACCACTACTCCTAAACCTACAACCACTACCCCTAAACCTACAACCACAACCCGAAGACCTATCACCACTACCCGAAGACCTACAACCACTACCCGAAGACCTACGACCACTACCCGAAGACCTACGACCACTACTCGAAGACCTACAACCACAACCCCTGATCCTATTCCAAGGACCACCACTGCGAAATCTACTACCACGTCAACGACAACCAGAGCCCCCGCTAATCCGACCAGAGGCCCCGCTAATCCGACCAGAGCCCCCGCTAATCCGACACAGACAAATAAGCTGCCATTGGCCTGTACTATATATTGTTTTGCTGTCTGTAAACCCGGAAATACATCCACATTCTGCTATAAAGAGCTTTGTGAAAAGTGTCCTGGATATAAAAACATGTTTAATAAATGATATACTTGCTTTGTTGTTTTGTCCTGTTTTAAATCTTCAAAATCACAGACAGTGAAATCTCGATAACTCGAATGCGATATAGCCTTTAGGGCGATGGATCTTCATTGCCCTGAAAGAGTATGGGATGATAAGGACCTAACTTAACCCGTGTCTTCACGGGTGGTCAATTTATGGACAACACTATTTCAACCCTAGTCGTAACAGATTAACAAACAGGTTGGAATAATTGTATGGAATACTGTAAGGGACATTCTCGCGATCTCGCATTCTCGCGATCTCGACCTTTGGAAACGAGGTAAATATGCCCAAAATGCGAGATCGCGAGAATGTCCCTTACAGTATTCCATAAATTTGCGCTTGGTTTAAGAGCGACAGAGAACACAAGCAGCTCTCCATTCCTGAACAATAATTGAGCGCTCAAACATTAGAATGACGTCACAGATGTTTATATTATGTGAGGATGCGCCAAATATTTTTTACAATATCCATGTGTGCAAAAGAAGACTTTCGTATCAAGGAGACTGCGTGTAGCTACATCATATAACCAAAATGGAGGCATATTACCACAGTGTTATATTTTACGAACGCTTAAATTAGTAATATTGCCTCTATGTAAAAGTAAATGTGGCCACAAAAACCTTTTTTTATAACAAAACTAGTTGCAATTACGACGGTTTTGGGGTGTGTGTTTTTTAATGTCGCACTCAGCAATATTCCAGCTATATAACGGTGGTCTGTAAATAATCGAGTCTGGACCTGACAATCCAGTGATTAACATTAGCATCGAGCTACACAATTGGGATACAATGACATGCATAAACCAAGTCAGCGAACCTGTTCGTGTTTTCCGATTCTATACTATGAAATAACTATATCGAAATATTCAGGTTTATTAAAGGAGATAGTGGGTATGAAAATGTCCAAGATGTCGATCTCCTATTTGGACTTGCGAAGCGACCATTCGACGCTTGTGAGGGCCGGTACAACACCAACCATGCATGTGTGACCAATACCAATACATTACAGTCAGCGGTAGGTTTGATCCGCTAGTCCTTGTAATGATAACATGTAGCAAAACCCTTAAAAAAGCAAATGTCTACTAGTCCTTATGATGCCTTAACTATTGGGCAGTTTGGCAAGGACTACAGGACTAGTGGCAATTTCTAACGCTGACAGTATTGAGTGATTGAATGAATATGGTTTTAAGCCGCTTTTAGCAATATTCCAGCAATATCACGGCGGGGGACACTAGAAATGGGCTTCACATATTGTACCCATGTCGGGGATCGAACCCCGCTCTTCGGCGTGACGAGCGAACGCTTTAACCACTAGACTACCCGACCGCCCCGACAGTATTGTAAAATTATGTATTGTATAGTCTAGATATGATACGTCTGATTTCAACATCAAATATCGAATTAAAATGCTTTTTCGTCATCATGTTCAATTTACCTTTTTCCCAATAATTTTACATGAACAGCTATACTGCCTTAAACACGATAGACTGTTCGGAGTTTTCCGATAAGTTTGTAGAAATCGTTGTTTCGTGATAAACGTGCAACCTCTAAGATTGTGTCATGTGGAAATATTTAGGTGTCTTTGTTTGCTTTTGCGCGAAGACTGCTGTTTACATGTATAACTTTCGTAGAAGTATGGGCCCAAAGCGTAGTGTTATGAAAATGACATTGTGGACATGTCGTCGTGATAATGTTCTAATATCGCTATCTGCGGCGTTAAACAACATTCACTCACTTATTTCAAGGATCTCAATGGTATGATAAAGTGAGTGAGTGAGTATGGTTTTACGCCGCTTTTAGCAATATTCCAGCAATATCACGGCGGCGGACACCTGAAATGGGCTTCACACATTGTACCCATGTCGGGAATCGAACTCAGGTTTTCGGCGTGACGAGCCAACGCTTTAACCACCAGGCCTCCAGACCGCCCCGGTTTGATAAAGAAACAATTAGCTATTTTTAAACGAATCAGCACATCACAGGGCGGTTCGTTAAAAAGAATACTGAAAATTTCGATATATACCAGCAGCTGGTGGTGGTGAAAAAGTGACGACAGGAGAAGATGTCCCCACTGCCGTTGGGTTGTCGTAAGATTCGACTAATGGGCCGTGTACACCTAGCCGGTTTTGCACCTGTATCCGAGACCCGTGAAGATCCGGGGTAGAATAGGTCTTCAGAAACCCATGCTTGCCGTAGAAGGCGACTATGCTTGTCGAAAGAGGCGACTAACAGGATCGGATGGTCAAGCTCGCTGACTTGGTTGAAGCATGTCATTGAAGTGAATAATAATTTAGGACCTAATTGAAAATACCAGTTTTGTAATATTTCATGTCCGATTAAAAATATATCTTCATTGTAATTTTGTGACCGCTGACATGATCCTGTCGGGGATGGGTTTTTTGTTTGTTTTGTTTGTTGTTTAAAGCTGCACTCAGCAATATTCCAGCTATATGACGGTGGTCTGTAAATAATCGAGTTTGGACCAGACAACGCGGTGGTTGACATCATGAGCATCAATCTACTCAATTGGGATAAATGACATGCATCGACCAAGTCAGCTAGCCTTAACCACCTGGTCCCGTTAGTGGCCTCTTACGACATGCACAATCGCCGCTTACGACATGCACAATCGCCTCTTACGACATGCACAATCGCCTCTTACGACATGCACAATCGCCTCTTACGACAAGCACAATCGCCTCTTACGACAAGCACATTCGCCTCTTACGCCAGGCATTGGTTTCTGAAGACATATTCTAACCCGGATCTTCACGGGGACAATACAACATTAATATAAACTTGATGGGCGCCGTTATGCACGCCTGCAACAAGGGATACGCGTGGAAATAACTAAAGACGTGTGATCCCAGCTTCCCAAGGTTTGGAGGACTACAAGGGGTGACCACGGCTGCTGTATTGTGATTGTGCCCAGACACCATGGATCGCTGCTCATGCCATCGGCCGCTGGTTTGCCGGGTCAAGACTCGATTTCAGGGACACGGTGACATTTTCTATGACAAGTAAGTGCATACGTATTCGTTTTCCATGATAGTGTCGATGTTTTTTTTATTTTGTGAGGATGCCGCGAATGTTGAAATTGAGAAGACTGTCGTATCAATGAGACTGAGGGAAGCTGCATTATCCAAACAAAAGGCATATTTCTACAGTGGATTATATTTTACGAACGCTTAAATCAGTACTACAGAGTTTATGTAAAAGTAAGTGTGATCGTATACCTTCGTTTAAAACTGAAAATGTGTTGTAATTACGATGATTTGATTTAAAACTTATGTACATTTCTTACTGCTAATAACATAACCTATACATTTCACAATACAGACTCTTCAGAAATACAGTAAACAACGGTTATATCGAACTCAAAGGGACCACTAATATTAGTTCGTAATAACCGTAGTTCGTGATTAGCCTACATCCAACAAATGGTCGGGACTTGAACCTAAGTTCGTTATATCGATCAGTTCGTTATAAGCGTGTTCGTTATAAACGTCGTTTACTGTAACTCTTCAGAAATACTTCAAAAAATGCCGATGTTTAGGGATATTAGTTTTGAAAATTCATCACAGAATGGCTTATATTCGGAGAAAATCACTTTTATTGCATATAATGACGTTGAATACATTGATGCTTATACGTATTATGGATTGTGATGGCATGCATGTGTCACATAACCCCATTTAAATCCATCTCCAATACTTGACAGGGTTGCATACACAACGTTCGACCATCACCCGGGAATACATCGCAGCGCGTGTTCAGCTTCAGAAGCTCAAAAGCCTACCCATTGATTTCCATTAAAGCAATGTGTGGAGTAGATGAACGCATGGCTCTTACACACGTTGCACACGAAATATTGCTGATGTAATCTGGGCGCTCATTGGTCTCTCGCTGCAACCTGATCGAGGCTTGTTTCGTTTGGACACAAATTAGGGGCGACGCCGCCAAGCTGTCGCATGTATTCACGGGTATTGGAGGAACGTTAGGAAGTATTAACGATGATATAAAATCAGACCTTTTATTCCCACTTGATAACTCTTTGTCAAAATCTGAAAATTCAACAACATCGACGGAACTCTGTGCGATCTTTGACCTCCGAATCATTGTGAGCATGTGTGGGTTTTTGAAACGATCAGATTTCCGATAGTGAACGATTTCAGTTTCAAACGGACGGTCTTGACAATGATTTTGCGGGTAATTCTGCTGGAAAATAACAGCTACAAGAAGATCTTATGACGTTCACTGAAAGACGTCACTGAAACGATTGTGAAAATATTCCCACAACAGCGTGGTCATTATTATTGTTGATTCGGAACTGCCCGTTTACGATCATTTTCGAGATACAGACGTATTCTTCGCTCGGTGGGGAACTGAACTCGGGCCTTCGGAGTGACGAGCGAACGTTTTAACAAAAAGGCTACCCCGCCCCGCCCCGCCCCGCCCCGCCCCGCCCCGCCCCGCCCCGCCCCGGTCCGCCCCGGTAAAAGATCTGAGTGTAATGAATGGTTATCAGATTGCCTTCATCACACGATGTAGATATGTGGGCGTGTGTTGAACATGAAGCTGTGATATCCTTCGTCACCTGAAACACCCGCAACACAAACTCTTTTTCAACTTGTCACACTTCTTCCCGTCTTTGGGGACAATCTTGTCTTTCTTGGTTGTAGTCCTTCTTGGTTTGAAATGGTCACGTGCCTCATCGGTTGTTTCCGTGTCGTCATAGCAACGTATCATGTAGGGGTGGTAGGATTTCATCTGCAGTGAAACATATGAGAGTGAGTGAGGTTGGTTAAACGCCGTTTGAACAGTATCCACAGGTATATATCGGCGGGTTAAATTGATGTGGGATGAAAGCTTATTTCTGAAGGTCTTAGACCTTTAACATTTTTATGAATTCCACGAGCTCACACAGCAAAACCATAATCTGGGCCAATATTTGATTCTGGCTCGCCTAAAGGACGCAAGAGGCGACTAACGGGATAGGACGGTCAGGCTCGCTGACTTGGTTGATGCATGTAATCGTATCCCAATTTCGTAGATCGATGCTCATGTTATCAATCAGTGGACTGTCTGGTCCAGACTCGATTATTTACAGACCGCCGTCATATCGCTGGAATATGGCTGAGTGCGGCGTTAAAAAACAAACAAACAAACAAACAAAACCTACCAACTTCGGGTTATGGATGTCAGTCACGTGGTATGCCAGACGCTGGAATGAGGGGAAGACATTGGTGCCTGTCTTAGCGCTCGTCTCGAAGAACTCGAACGCCATTTCTTTCTCAGCCAACTGAAATAGAAAGCCAACTTTACTGTGTATCACCAGATAGGCAGCTACACCGTCACGAACAGCGACACGAGATAAGTTGTAGACCTGTTTCAGAGTTCATGGTGAGTGAGTGAGTGAATGTTGTCATCCTCGCCACCAGTTTTTATTTACAAACCGCCGTCATATTGGCTGAGGTATTGCTGATTGCGGCGTTAAACAACAAACATATCCATGGCCGACACATCAACAGCTCCATGGTCGATTCACAGACATCTACATTGTCGATTCACAAACATCTACATTTCCGATTCACAAACATCTACATTGTCGACTTACAAACATCTATATGGTCGATTCACAAACATCTACATTGTCGATTCACAAACGACTCACAAACATCTACATTGTCGATTCACAAACATCTACATTGTCGATTCACAAACAGCTACATTGTCGATTCAGAAACATCTACATGGCCGACTTACAAACATCTACATTGTCGATTCACAAACATCTACATGGACGACTTACAAACATCAATATTGCCGACCCTCAAACATTTTCATGGTCGACATACAAACATTTACATGGCCGACTCACAAACATCTATATTGCCGACCTTCAAACATCTACATGGTCGACATACAAACATCTACATGGCCGACTCACTTTGTATCCTTTGCTCGGCTTCACCCGTCGCTTCTCGTCCATATCGCATTTATTGCCGCAAAGGATGATTGGTATCGGCTCATACCTGCCGCGTCCACTGTGGCAGTGCGCAACTTCCTGTAGAAGTAGAACGTAGCAGAAACATTAATATTTGTTTGTTTGTTGTTTAACGCCGCACTCTATCGCCCAGCTTCTGTGGTCAGTCATCCCATGCCACGATTTTTGCCATTTGCCATGGTTCAGAAATAGGGGTGTGCTTAACTTTTTTCTTTGTGTATATGTGACTCGCAGGGAGGAGAGGGACCTAATGGGTTTGTTTGTTTGTTTGTTTGTTTGTTGTTTAACGCCGCACTCAGCAATATTCCAGCTATATGACGGCGGTCTGTAAACAATCGAGTCTGGACCAGACAATCCAGTGGTTGACATCATGAGCATCAATCCACGAAATTGGGGTACGATGACATGCATCAACCAAGTCAGCGAGTCTGACCACCCGATCTCGTTAGTCGCTCTTACGACAAGCTTAGTCGCCTTTTACGGCAAGCATTGGTTGCTGAAGATGTATTCTACCCCGGATCTTCACTGGCTAGATACATTAAAAATATTTGAGGAAACTTCATGAGCGTGGGGACGTTGCTCGTACATTCACTAACTAATTGTTCTCGTCCAATAACGACAATATACAACCGTCGTGATATCGCTGGAGTATTACCGACTGCGCCGTTAAACAATATTCATTCCCCCGGCCTATTCTACGGTGTTGTGTTTTCCTCTGAAACTACGACTCTAGATATACTCTACATGTGCAGTGTCGCTATATGGCTAGAATAAGTGACCGCCTCCGTGGTCTAGTGGTAGAGCGTCCGCCCGGAGAGCGGAAGGTCCGGAGTTCGATCCCCGGCCGCGTCATACCAAAAGACGTTAAAAGATGGTACTTGTTGTTACCCTGTCTGGCGCTCGGCATAAAGGGGCTAAAACAAGGACTGGTCGGCTCGGAGTCAGTATACTGTGTCTGAGTGGGGTATTCATGTTAAACTGCGGCATGGTATCTCAGTGAGCTAGCACTATAAATCGGCATCAGTCCGATCTAGTACAAGCAGCCACACACACACGTGCATGCACGTCGCTATATAAGTGCAATAATCTTGGACGCGACGTTAAACCCCATTTCACCTCACCTCACCTAGAATAAGTGCCGCTTTTAGCAATATTCCAGCAATATCATGGTGGGGGACACCAGAATTGGGCTTCACACATTGTACCCATGTCGGGAATCGAACACGGGTCTTCGGCATGAAGAGCGAACGCTTTAACCACTAGGCTACCCGACCGCCTGGCTAGAATAATGTCCATGCGACGTTAAACTTTAACTCACTCACCACAGGTCCTGACAAACCCGAACACATAATGAAGGTGAACCGAGATTTGAGTGAGTGAGGGAGTTGGGTTTAACGCCGCTTTTAACAGTATTACAGTTATATCGCGGCGTGTCAGCTTAATGTGGAGGAAAGCCCGAAGTGATGCAGGTCTCAGACGCTTACCACTTCGGTGAAACCCACGAGCACGGGTAGAAACCTAGAAACATCATCGGGGCGAACCGGGATTCGAACCCACAATCATAGGTTTCTGGCATGCCCAAGGGACGCAACTCTGCACAGCGAATCGCGGCGCCTTAGACGACTTAGCCACCCCTGACCCCGAACCGAGATTGGAAGCCACGATTATAGGTATGTTGCATTACTGAGGCATTACTAAGTCAATTAAATATCTAGCTATCTATATCTGTCGTAGTACATTGTCAGCACAATAAGATATGTGTACGTCACGTCCATTGTAATACAAATGTAATCATGGGTCGATGGCCTACACGAAATAAAACAGAATTGAATTGAATTACAGTAAACTACGGTTATAACGAACACGCTTATAACGAACTGACGGATATAACGAACTTACGTTTTTGGTCCCGACTATTTGCTGTAGTTATGCTGTATATATGCTTATAACGAACTACGGTTATAACGAACTAAAATTAGTAGTCCCTTTGAGTTCGTTACAACCGTACTTTACTGTACTAAGGGAAGAACCTGCGGCGGTTAGATGACTGGGCCATTCCTCCAATCAATATGTTCAAACTGACTTGATATGCAAAATATAACGGGGAGAAATCATTAACGATAGCTGACCCGGCCAATATCAGAGACGTGACTCTTGTTTTAAACCTTACACGTACAGCTTTGTACGCCGTCCCACACAAACTGCAGCACTTACATTCAACTCAGTAGTCATGACAGCTCTCGCGAGATCGGCCCGAGACTATCAACCATATGTAATGGCCAAGTGGAAAGTGCTAATGGTCGACAACCTCCCTCCCAAAGCTGTTTATATCGCTGGACTATTGCAGTGTCCAGCTTTAAACAATAACCAAACAACGGTGGTCATTTAGAGTGGCCGGGATAGTCACATGAGTCTGTTTATGGTCACAAGAAATGGCATACAAGTCCAGTGCTCAACTAAACCCATCTCTTTCGGGCAGTCTCCTGTGTGTTGTGCTGTTAAAAGGAAGCGGCGCTTATCCATAGGTGGTTCCGACCATTATTTTCTTTTGGAACCTATACTGCGTTGGGGAAATATATGTCCCCCACATGGAGAAAATTGACCTTCTAGGTTGGTTTGTTGGATTGTTGTTTAACATCGCTCTCAGAAAAATTCCAGCTATATGACGGCGGTCTGTAAATAATCGGGTCTGGACCAGACAATCTAGTGATTAATACCATGAGCATCGATCCACGCAATTGGGATCGTTGACATGCATCAACCAAGTCAGCTAGCCTGACCACCCGATCCCGTTAGTCGCCTCTTACGACAAGCAGAGTCGCTTTCTACAGCAAGCGTGGGTTGCTGATAGGGCTGGGACGAGTCCAAATTTACTGCCCGGGTACCCGACCCCCTATTACCCGACCCTACCCGGGTACCAACTGCAAGTCTCAAGAGTAGGGGACAAAATGTCTGATTGGTAATTGTTTTACTGCAGCCCTGGCTAAAACTATTCACATACATGTATCAAACAATCAGATCATGCGTTCACTAATGTTGACTGAAGCTTTATCTTTACTCAAACATATACAAGTCAAAAGGAATGTGTGCATCGTCAGAAAGAAATGCGAACATCAGCAACTTGTAGTGTAATCACTGTGCTACAATAAGTTTTTGTCATTAAACAATATATCACGTGACTAACCACGGGTCCGGGTAGTCCTTTGGGTACCCGGGTCCTACTCAGGAACCACCCGACCCGAGTACCCGAGTTACCCGTCCCAGCCCTAGTTGCTGAAGACCAATTCTTCCCCGGGTCTTCACGGGTCGGTATGTGAGTGAGTATGGTTTTACGCCGCTTTAAGCATTATTCCAACAATATCACGGCGGGGGACACCAGAAATGGGCTTCACATCTTGTACCCATGTTGGCAATCGACCCCGGGCCTTCGGCGTGACGAGCGAACGCTTTAACCACTAGGCTACCCGACCGCCAAAACTACCACATGATTTGTAGGCAAACGGAGAGTCTGAAGTGCGCGGTCAATCCTACAGCGCACATTGGCAGACTGTTCATGTTTACTTCTTGTCAACCACTTTATTTACCGGAGTTTCCCGTATTTAAGCCCATGTGAGATTAAAACCATGGGCGTAATAACGGAAAATAATTCCGTATTTTGGCCTTTATTCACATTACTTTATGCAAATAATATTCCACAACATGAAGAAGTTTAAAAGCCCGGGTCTTAAATACGGCAAATCCCGGTAATATTAGGTGCTTTTATGCAATGATGAGCATTAGCCGTGACGGGATTCGCTGATCGGAGTCATAAATCATCAGTGCACATGGGGCGCTAGACGTATCGGGCGTCGCTTGAGCTTTCCTTTCACAATATGGGGCGCAGGTGACCCAGTCGTCTGAGGTGCCCCAATTCACTGTGCGGAGTTGCGTCCCTTGGTAACGCCAGAAAGCTGTTAATGTGGGTTCGAATCCCTGTTCGCCCCGATTATGTGTCTAGGTTTGTCGGCACCATACCCATGCTCGTGGGTTTCACCAAAGTGATAAACGTCTGAGACCTGCTTCCGTTCGAGGTGTCGTCCTATATTAAGCTGACACGCCGTGATATAACTGGAATGGTCTTCAAAGCGGCGTTAAACTTGTGAGTTTGGTTTTACGACGCTTTTTGAAATATTATATCAGTATCGCGACGGGGGACACCAGAAATAGGCTTCACGCATTGTGCCCATGTTGGGAATCGAACCCGGCCTTCAGCGTGACGAGCGAACTCTTTAACTACGAGGCTACCCCATCGCCGGGACGTTAAGCTTTAAACTGATATCCCGCGATATTAATGATATTTTGTTCAAAGTGAATCACTCCGTTTCACTTAATATAAAAGATAAACCAAACCACATAAAATACATTACAAGAACATTTCCGACAGATTTATCAGAAACAGTTCCATTTTAACGTCAAAATAGTTATTAATATTCAACATTGTTCGGAGCCATTTGTGTTGCTACCACAGCAGATGTTCCTTTCGATAAGTTTGCTTCCGAAACCCTTGAAATATTGGTCAAGAAGGCAAAATCCATTACTCCAGTGAAGTGCGGGAAAACTCCGAGATTACGCACCTGTTCCGGCGATCTGTCAGCACCTGTCAAAGCACCGTGAATAATTCTGTCAGGGCACGAGCGTGATTGGTGAATGCATTTTACCAAATGCACGTGCAATCCATGCAAAACAAAAATCACGATCTGTCAGCGGTGCATGGGTGGACCAGTCCATTTTGGTGTTAGGTAGGTTGATAATTCCCAATGGTGGGATGTCACATTCGTAAGGCGCCACAAGTCATACGTTTTTTGGTAGATTTCCATTTTTTACCAACATAAAAATGTTTTTTTCTTGTTTCAGCTCATTCGGACTATGGTTTTATAACTCCATATTCAGCCTTTGATTTCAGTCGGGGCAGAGTTGTGTCCCTTAGACGTCCCAGAATCTTAAAATCGAATTGTCAGCACCGAGCTCATTGGTTTCGCCAAAGTGGAAAATGTCTGAAACCTGTATCACTTCAGTTTTCATCCACATCAAACTGACACACCGTAGCATTACTGAAATACTGTTCAAAGCGACATTAAACAAAAACTCACTCACTCACTCACTCGATATACACGAAACACAAAATGATGCCCTTATATGGCAATACTTACATACTGTATACTTGTGATCCAATAAGTCAGATGTGAAAATGAGGCGATATTTGTGACGTCATACACGAGGACAATTCCCTGAAATGAGAAAAGAAAATTGAAAGAGAGTTTTTATCGCATTGAGTAACGTCTAGTTATGTTGTTATTGTGTATTGCTCTTCAGCCGCTGGTATTAACATACTGTCGTACGATAAAAGATGAAAAGAGTTGTTATTTTTATATCTGACCCTTCGCCCGCTTGAATATACTATTTTGTCTCCCCATTCTGGACGAAAGGAATTTGGCGTCTCGTGAAAAAAAAGGGTTTAGATTGGCTTAATGTACAGTAAATTTAGAAATTTGTTTCTCTGTTTTTGTCAGATCATTCTAATACTGGAACGTGTAACATTTCTTTACTTTCATTAGACATTTAGGTATATTAGACCAGTGATGATATGTTTGTGTGAAATATACAATAATCGTTGTTGTACAATAGCTCGAGGATAGTTACAGACTCGTACTCTTATACTATAATGGATAACTTATGATTATGCAGAATTTAAAATACATAGTACATAGTTTTAGGTCGTAATATATAATTCTCAAAATTTGAAACTTGATAACATATTGGTAATATATATATACCTTAAGAACTTGATTTTATATTTTCCATCCCAACAGTGTATATAAGTATGTGTACGATATTTGAAACAATCAAGGGCGTTGTACATGACCAGATGGGTGATATCTTCCCGAGGCAAGAGAGTTAACTGACTTTAAAAATCCAGTTTCCACCCTTGCCGAACTAGGCTGGAATTCCTGGGCTCGATCGTAGCACCACCAGTGGTTATTACGAGTTATGTCCCTTCTAAACCTCTCCTATGGACCAATCAGATTCCACCTCGCGTATCACTTGCATTTGCTTCAAACAAAACAGTGGCTCCCAGTCAAGACGATCTGACGGATAATCAAGATCTATTTTGTGATAAAACGGGTCTTACATCGCGAAGTGCATCAAATCACGTTAGCACCTTGATTAAAATCATGAAACGATTTGGAAAATATCTGTTGACAACGAGTTGGCGGTGCACATGCTTTGCAAATCCTGCAATCGACCGAAATCAGCACGACAGCTTACAAACCGGATTTCGATTTCGTTACGCGATTTTGATTGGACTATGCATAGACTCGTTAGCCCAGCCAAAATGTAACTCCATAATACCAGCCTAGTTCGGCAGGGGTGGAAACTGGACTTTTATAGTCAGTAACTCACTTGCCTAGGGAAGATGGATGGGTGAGTGAGTGAGTATGGTTTAACGCCGCTTTTAGCAATATTCCAGCAATATCACGGCGGGGGACACCAGAAATGGGCTTCACACATTGTACCCATGTCGGGAACCGAACCCGGGTCTTCGGCGTGACGAGCGAACGCTTCAACAACTAGGCTACCCAACCGACCCTTTAACCCTGAAAATCTTGAGAAACAAACACAAAATTAAAACAACAGATAAACACATACAAGATTTCTATTGATAGTCACAAGACAAGGAATGAACGAAAGCAGAAAATGAAATGAAAACGCTAATCAGGACATTGGACACAAACAACTCCCTGAAACTTCACAAACCGGAAAGAAATCTCCACAAACAACGCAATGACGTCCATCATGACCAGATGAATCCTCGAACACCACAATTAATCCGACATTATAACGGATCTCATCTTATACTTTCTTACCAAGACTCACGGTACCAATGGGGTTCGCCAATACATCTGGTGTTCCACTAAACAAACGGCGAAACAGTGTTTATACTAAAGATGGGTGAGGCCGAACTAAAGCCCCCTACTTAAAGACATCTGTCGGTCAAAGATATTTAGAATTCTGGTACTGTTATATTTCGTGTAAACTGCTAAAGGGTGTGTTCAACTAAACACATGTACCATTCAAGGTCATGTCCAGTTTGTTAACAAATAATGGCATAGAAACTTTATTATTGTTTAATAAGTCAGCTCGTAGTTACTTTATACATCTTATTAATGTATTGAAACAGGATCTTCGAATTATTAAAAAATACAAGGAAAATAAAAGTATTTTTACAATATATACCTGGCCATGGTGGAGATATGACATATGCATTTCAGTTAAATGAAGAAAGTATTTCTTCCGGCTGACTTAGAAGTCGGATGTGCAACTACTGACAAAATCGACTGAAATAGTTAAGCTGACCACGCCTACTGTCGTGTCATCGTGGCAAACAAGAAACATCTTTTTTTGAAAAATGCATTAAATACCGCCGGAGCAGTAAAACAGAACATCTTTAGGCCTCATCATGAAATGAACATTTGTGTAGTGAGACCCATGACCAACATAAGGGGTGGATCATGTGATATTCTGGGTGGGATTGTGTGTGTGCGTGTGTGTAGCTATGTGTGTAAATGAGTGTGTGTATGTGCGTGTGTGAATTAGTGTTGTGAATGTGTGTAGCGTGTACGTGCAGATGAGTGTGTGTATGTGCGTGTGTGAGTGTGTGTAGCGTGTACGTGCAGATGAGCGTGTGTATGTGCGTGTGTGAATGTGTGTACGTTATATGTAAATGAGTGTGTGTATGTGTGTAAATGATTGTGTGTGTGTGCGTGTGTGAATGTGTGGCGTGAGTGTGTGTAGCGTGTACGTGCAGATGAGTGTGTGTATGTGCGTGTGTGAATGTGTGGTGTGAATGTGTGTAGCGTGTACGTGCAGATGAGCGTGTGTATGTGCGTGTGTGAATGTGTGGCGTGAGTGTGTGTACGTGCAGATGAGCGTGTGTATGTGCGTGTGTGGCGTGACTGTGTGTAGCGTGTACGTGCAGATGAGTGTGTGTATGTGCGTGTGTGAATGTGTTGCGTGAGTGTGTGTAGCGTGTAAGCGCAGATGAGTGTGTGTATGTGCGTGTGTGAATGTGTGTAGCGTGTACGTGCAGATGAGCGTGTGTATGTGCGTGTGTGAATGTGTGGCGTGAGTGTGTGTGGCGTGTACGTGCAGATGAGTGTGTGTATGTGCGTGTGTGAATGTGTGGTGTGATTGTGTGTAGCGTGTACGTGTATATGAGTGTGTGTATGTGCGTGTGTGAATGTGTGGCGTGAATGTGTGTGGCGTGTACGTGTAGATGAGTGTGTGTATGTGCGTGTGTGAATGTGTGGTGTGTAACGTGTACGTGTAGATGATTGTGTGTGTGTGAATGTGTTTGTGTGTGTGAATGTGTGTTGTGAATGTGTGTAGCGTTATATGTAAATGAGTGTGTGTATGTGCGTGTTTGAATGTGTGGTGTGAGTGTGTGAAGCGTGTACATGTAGATGTGTATGTGTGTGTGTGAATGTGTGTGTGTTTGGCAACGATAAGTGTTCCAATAAGGCCCAGGTGAATATGACATAGGCCACAGTCATTCATTTTATTTAACAAACAAAAATAATAATCACAATTATGCATTTTACATTGCGACGTGTTCACGCACCAGTAGATGCTTAGGGCATGAAATATTTATCCGGTCATCGGATAAGTAAGAATTCCAAATTCTCCTTGGGGAGTAGCCAACTGATTCTGCGCGTGCACTACCAATGAACTCAACAAAGGAAATCCCGACCTGTCGATTAACGCCATGAATATTCATGAGCGGCAGTCTCAGAAGTGAAGGGTAATGCCTAGTAAATGAGGTAAATGTCTATTGCTGTAACTTGTCAAGTTAATGGTGCCACAGAGACCATCATTCAACTTATTAAATGTGATTTGATGTATCGTGTACGTATTATTATAAGTTGTAGCCGTATGAATGCATATTTGACTCGAATTGCGTGGTGACATTGGTGGTGTTGGATTACTTGCCTTCGACTATTGCAATTCCAGGAAACTGAGTCGACCGAGGCTACCAAATTTCTGGCAATAATAATAATAAGTGCATTTATAATGCGCCAGATTCCATTCACCAAGTGGATGCTCATAGCGCTACACTATTATTACCCCGGTCAATGGATCAGTGAGCACTTGATTTTCATTCGTAGCTCCCTGGGGAGTATACAACCCAAGCTGCCTGTGAGGCTAGAAGGTTAACAGCCACATTACCATCTCATCCTACCGGGTACCCACTCACTGCTGGGTGAACAGAGGCACATTGTGAACAAAGTCACTTGCCTAAGGAGACACCACATGTGGTACATGTGCTTCAGTGTGGGGCAGGACCGAAGCCCTCGAAACTCTCAGGAGTCAAACTGCTTAACGTGGTCACCCATCCAACTACTCTCCGAGACCAACGTTGCTTCACCTGATTTGTGATGTGTGCGCTGTGCACAGGACCACGTGCCACCACAAATCAAATCAAAGTACCACATGTCTGGCAGCCAGGGTTGAATAGATTCAACCTGTGTAAAACCAGGGCAGTACGCGAAATCAAGCGCATAAAATGCCATCCTAGTTGTACAAAGGACGTATATGGATCTATGTCTTTGGTTTTACAAAATGGCTGCGAGAAGAGGGGACACAACAACCATTTATCATACCTCCATGTCAGAATGATGAAATATGATTGCTCCACGTGATCTTGATCAAATACTGTGTCACCTGCCTTGGAGGGTATATCTGCATTTCTCAGCTGGGGAATAAATCTCTTATACCCCGCCACGAGGGGGCACGGGTGGCCCAGTCGTCTAAGACGCCGCGATTCGCTGTGCAGAGTTGCGTCCCTTGGGCACGCCAGAATCCTATGATTGTAGGTTTGAATCCCGGTTCGCCCCATTTAGGTTTCTAGGTGTCAGCACCATACCCGTGTTCGTGAGTTTCACCAAAGTGGTAAACGTCTGAGACCTGCATCACTTCGGGCTATCCTCCCATATTAAATTGACACGCCGTGATATAACTGGAATACTATTGAAAGCGGCGTTAAACCCAAACTCACTCACTCACTCACTATCCCGCCACGAGCAATACAGGCTGCACGTGGATTTCTGAGAGACAGAATAAATCCGCACACTTTTTCCGAGTCAATGGAAGTCACGTGACATAGCACAAGTTGACCTCGGCTCCATCGAACAGCTGTTTCTGTCAATTTCGAATTTGAGTTAATTCTTTA